CCCCAAAACCCCAAAACCCCATGAATGGTTAATATTAATAAAAAACTTGTAATTATAAATTAGAAAAATTAGATTAAACCTCAATATCTTTATGTCAGATTTTCTTTAAAACCAAAGGTAATCCTTATCTGAGAGATTTAAGAATTCTTATTTAGAGTGATATATGCAGACGACAGCAGAGTAAGACACCAGGGCATATTAACTATTAAACAAGAAGATCACTCACTAGGGAACCTAGTCAGACATCAACTTCTTGAAAATCCCAGAGTAAAGTTCTCCGGCTACAGGAAACCCCATCCACTTGAGGAGCATGTTGAGATCAAGGTATTTTTGTCAATTTTCCTTATCCCATTTCAGGTCCAGACAAACGGAGAAGTTGCTCCACCTACTGCAATCATCCAAGCTGCAGACTAGCTATACAAAATGCTTCAAAAACTCAATGAGAGTCTGTTGCAGCAAGCTTAGCTCTTCAGAGGTGATGTCACAATGCTCTGACTCAAAATTTGCTCACTCATAAAATAATGAATCTTTACTATTGATAAATTTATGAAATTAAGTTTAAAATTATCATTCTTATCTAGAGTCATCATCATAAAAAGTATTATCTCATCAATTCTTGATCTCATTTTTCCTCAGCAACTTTTTCTTTTTCTTGCTCATTTAAATAATTCTTCCACATCTCAGTGTATAGAGAGTTTTCATTATCCATCAACTCCCAATGAGTGCCCTTTTCAGCTACTTTGCCGTCTGCAAGCACGTATATATTGTCAACATTAATGATAGAAGAAAGTCTATGAGCACAGTAAATCACAGTCTTGCCAACCATAATCTCTTCTAGTGCCTCAGTAATATCCCTTTCAGTGTGAGCATCTAGATTGCTAGTTGCTTCATCAAAAAGATATATTTTTGCATCCTTTTTCAGCAATCCTCTTGCTATAAGTATTCTTTGTCTTTCACCTCCTGAGAGTTTGCTTCCTAAGTCCCCTACTTAGGTCTCATAACCCTTTTCCATTGATAGAATTTTTTCGTGAATTTGACATTTCTTGGCGATCTCAACAACTTCCTCAAAAGTGGCATCCTCATTGCCATATTAAAGATTGTGCAAAATAGTATCGTTAAATAGAATTCCATTCTAGGGGATGACAGAAATGTATTTACGATAAGATTTGAATTTCAAGTCTTTTAAGTCCTGCCCATCCAAGATAATTGAGCCCTCATGAGGATCATATATTCTATTCTAAATGCATTTAATGTTAAATAGAAAATTACTATCAAATTAAGCATTGTAGTCTTTCCGAATCCACTTTATCCAACTATTGCATTAGTAGTACCTGGTTGTATATCTAGAGTCAAATCTTTGAACAGATATTTCTCTTATCCATTGAATTCATTATTATCGCCTTTCATATGCTTAAAAGAAACTCCTTGCAATTGAATTTAGCCTTGTTTAAATTGATAGTCTTAAGCATCAATCTTTTCCTTTATCTTAGATTCTTGCTTCAACATCACATAGAGATCTTCAACATCAACCTGAGATTAATCGATCTCTCTGAACAGTGTACCCATATTAAAGAGTGGCCCAGCTAATTATATAAAGAGTGTTTGGAGCATTACAAAATCTCCAGGAGTGAAAACACCCAGTGATACATCCTATACTGCCATTAAAAGGTTAATTGTCATTCCAATGCTGAATATCACTGATTGACTAATGTTCAAACGACCAAGTGTGATCTATACTTATTCTGCTGATTTCCTTAATTTATCTAGAAGTGTCTCATATATTCTCAGTTCTCTTTCTTCTCTGTTGAAGTTCTTTACTGTATCATAGTTCATCATACTTTCATTTAAATAAAACTCAGACTTTTTCTCATGATTTTTCCTCTCCCTAATGATATTTTGCCTGTAGGTGCTATATTTTTTAGTAAGAATTGTGTAAAATCCTAGAGTCACAAGCATGTTAGCCAAATAAGGGAAGCCAAAGTAGAGTTGGAAGGTTCCACATAACAATACAAATTCAAACCCTACAGGAGCGAAGAAGCCTAAGGTAAACCTAAGTGCACTTTCTATAGACCTAATAGCTCTGTTAATGGCAAATACTGTATTCTTAGAAGAAACTTTATGAAAGTAAATGTCTAGCTCATGTAGGTGCTTGAAAGCCTGCATTGATACATTCTTAGCGCCTATTTGAATAATGTCTGCTATTTACTTCATTCTGATTTCTTGAAACACAGTTGATAATATTCTTGCAGTTCCAAATCCTATGATTCCTAAGCAAGCCATATTAATATCCATTTAGGCTCCCAATGAAATAGCATTCACTGTGTATTTCAAGAAGAAGGGACTTGCAATTGCCAAGGACTTAGAAAGTGCTAGCAATAATGTGGACTTGTAAAGTATAGATTTTGCCTCTTTATTAAATATAATTGGCTGCAAATAAGCTCTGATTTCTTTCTTAGTGGCTCTAAAAAGTTAAAATATTACTGTATGATTACTTATTCTAATTTTAACTGGCAAATATGGGATTTTTATCTAATTAATCCTACACAGCCTACCCAGTCTTATTAATGTCGTCTTATTTTTCTGTAAAATTTTAATTATTTTATTAAATGTGATTACTTGGATCAACTGTCGAGAAATATCTAATATCACAGTTAATTTTGACAAGTTAAGGATTAAATAGATTGAAGTTCTAGAGTTTAGGAAAAATTAAAGTGCTATTTCTGAATCTTTTGTTTAGATGTTTTGTTAACTTATACATTTTTAAATGTGTGATAATTTAATCTAATGGATTTTATTAATCTAATAAATTTTCACATTGAAGGTGACTAATAAGAAGGGGTTTTGGGGTTTTGGGGTTTTGGGGTTTTGGGGTTTTGGGG